GGTTCCGTATATATTCTTACGCAGGTAGTGATGATAATTGCTGCGTCTCAATAATCCGTCTAAAAAATCGCAATTTTAAGATATTGCGTTGATTTTAACCGTAGGTAAGCAGTTTAGTCAAATTTACTCATAAATACAAACTTAATCACCTGTTCAATTCTTCACAATTCAAAAAAAAAGAGGTTGAAGCATCAATAAGCAAAAGACCAGAATCTTTGTACTATCGAAACTTCTATCCTAAGCTCATTTTCTGTCACCATTTTGTTCGGCAATTCCTCCCATTAATAAAATCACAGAAGAAATATATAATTTATATGAAGCCAAACTTTTCATATCACAAAATAATCATGGCTAATTACCGTTAATCAACCTTTATTTTTTTGTTGGCCTTCATTGTGGATCAAAGTCTTAAATCTTTTTCTTCATAAACTACCGAAAATAGCTAAGATAAAATTTTTAAATAATTACGTTGAATTATAATAAATATGTTTGAAAAATTCACTCTAAAAATACACAGAAAACTTGACTAATAGAAAATCTTTCTGATCTTTACTACCAATTTTATTATAAATTGGCATATCCATGTCAAATATCTAATATTTTAGTGGTGCGTCAATCAATTAAATGAATAATGCAAGAATATCAAGAAACAAAAAATAATTTCTTTGTATACTTCTTCCCTTTAAAATATATAAAAACATTTTTTGAATCTTTTCAGCAACTTACTTGTCATGTAAATGACTGGATGGAGATATTGAAGATGATGTTGTAAGACCTGAAAAGCATTCAGTTTTTCAACTTTCTTATCAAACTTGCAATTAAATTTCAAGAAAAAAACTGATCAATGACTGCTTTACAATAATACTTAATTTTTTATCATTCGTTAATTTATTACCAACCAAATGTTATTACACTGAGAAGTTGTGAGTTACTGAATTTAAAATAACTAACACCTGCCATTTTCATAAATTGATCCTGATTTCTGTTTAAAAATAATATTACAGTATTGCTCATTCTGAATATTTTATGATGTAAAGTAAAATACAACATAAATTATGCAACTATTCAAACTTTGACTGAATTCTCAACTTTTCCTATTGATACAAATATGATATTAGTTGAATTTCATAAAGACCATATGAATTCAAGTTTGCTTCGATATGTATTCTTCGTTACGCAGCAAAACGTGCAGGTTTTATTTTTATTGTTACTGTTGTCGCGAAAATTAATTAATGAAGATATAATAATATAGTCATCACTTTAGGACTAATTCATGTACCTCCTTCAGAAATTTAAAATCAATCTGTTTGTCAAGCAAAGATTTTCAAAGACTGACTATTACTCCGATGCAAAGTGATCATTCCTGTCGGTCAAAGATGAGTGGATATTCAATCAGTCGATACGACCTCCTACATCTTATAATTCAAGCTTTAACTTTTTCTATTTTCTCAACAGACATAGTTCGATAGTAAAATTTATCAAAGAACAATAATAACAATAATAATACTGATAATTATTGCCGTAAGAATAACACTGATACTAACATTCCAAAGGTCCCTTTTGTTGAAAACCGCATATTAATAGCACTAAAATCTTCTAATTGTCAGTACTAAAATCTAACCACGATTACTATAATGACTTGTAACCCCTTCATAACCACTTATTATTCCAAAATATAAATAAAATCATCAATAACTAAAATTCCAAAAATTCTTTCATCAATGTAATTAGTCGATGAATCAATGAAAATTTTTAGAACTTGAAGTAAAAACTTATGGCAGGCAAGGATGTTTTAGGTTAATTTCAGTCAGTAATTGTTAAAATCATTAACACTACTGTAAGACGGACAAATTAAGCTACTTGTTAACGCTTTGCATTTGCTTAGCGAACTCTTGTCCGAAAAAAAATTCGAAAATTTTTTCATTGTGTTTCCAGTCAACCCCTCAATTTTCATTCAAAAACTTTTTTTTTCTTCCATATAATTATTTTATTTCTGATTTTTGTCATTCTACTTTTGCACTTTTCCATATATAGTAATCACTTTCGTTTTTGATTGTTATACACGTCAACTATGCACAAACTATATATATATATATAAATAATTGCATCCAAATGAATATGCATTTAGATGAACAACAGAAAGTTATGAATATTTGAAACTTTTTTTTTCTTCCATATAATTATTTCATTATATATATAATTTGTGCATATATGAATATTTGCTCGGTTGAGTCTTCTCAGGTAATAATATAACAGAATTCATATTTTAATAGACTGTAAAATTTGATACCTTCACAAATACTTCTATTACTAGCTTATTATTTTTTAAATTCCAGAAGCTTATTGCTGAGCTTGTAATACTATTACAAGCAAAGTAATATTTCCATTTACAAGCAAAATTAATATTTAAATGTAAGCTAGAAACGAAACTTATTGTTAAATGTTTTTCCTTTCTTGACCTCCTGTTACTTGAGATGAAGTTGATTACCTCTAACAGCTGAGTACGAAAGTAATTTTATCTTTTGATCTTTGCTGAAGTAAGTATACTTTCCCCTTTTCTACACAATTTTATCTTTGTACAAATGAAGTAAATAAGTAGAAGACAAAACATTGTTGACGAGACTACTAAATCCCTTTGGAAAGACGTAATCCAAAGAACAAATCAACCGCCTGAATTAGAAAATTCACTCATATTTTTTCTTTGGAAAAAGTTTATTTGTAATGTGTTTGACAAAGAAAAAAAGATAATATGTAAGTAAAACTAAAATAAAATTATTATATTTATTTAATTTCCCTCAATTTCTTTTAAACTTGTAATTTTGAGTACTTTGTAATCACTTAAAATATTTCACTTCGACTGCAAAAAATCACAAAATAATTACTGAAATCAAATTGAACCAGACATTCCTAAATAAATTAATATTTATGAAAGAAATCAAGTCATTCATTATCATTAAAGTTCTGTTTTTTGCCTTAGTGTATTTTAGTTTCATATTTGAAATCAATGCTAAATACGCTGTACACCAATATGATAAGTACTCTAATCACTCATATTTTTTCCTTGAAAAAGGTTTATTTGTAATGCGTTTGACAAAGAAAAAAAAGATGACGAAGAAATCACCAGAGCTGATGGGGATGTAATAACTGCCAGTTTCAGGATTCTGAAGCAGCATTTGCCTAGTTCCATCATCCCAAAAAGAAGGAGATTGCTCTTCACCAAGAGAGCGTACATTCCGACCTATACCATTTCCCGTCGTACGTAACTACAAAATAGACAACATCAATTCAATATTTGATTAAAAAGTAAAGTATGCAACATAATCACAAATAATGAACCAATACTTCCTTATCTATTTTGAAATTTATGCTTCTCCCACCAACGTTTTCATTTTGTTCTGCTTAAAGTTCAATCAGTGATGGAAGTAATGATATGATGGATAAATGCATACCTGCTGAGATGTGGAAATTTCATAATTATTATTATTATTATTATTGTTGTTGTTGTTGCTGTTGTTGAATAATCTCGAACGCCGTCTGGATGATACAAGCCCTGTACAAATAATGCCAAATAATTTTAAAAAATTCTGGATGACAGTACACTTTTAATACTGTTTAGATCTCGTAGTTTAAAATTATTTCAGTTCAATTAAATTGAATTCACACAAAATATTCCATTAGAAAAACCCAAAATTTGGTGTGTCTGTAAGAGTATGTATGTAAGAGTTATTATTTATAAGAATCATATATTCTTCTGATGATGACTGTTTCTGGTTGAGTGAATTTTAAAACTTGCAGTTTATTTAAAACTTTTGGATAGTAAATATAAAAATGAAACTAATCGATTCTCAGAAACAAGAATAAATGAGTATCTGGTGACGAATAAGTGTTTCATGATCATGAAATGCGACACCTACCTTCATAATATCGTCTCATTTCAGATGGAATTCCAGGTTCATCATATTGTGAATCATCAATAACTTGAACTGAACTGGCTTCCTCCGACTTTATTCCAGGGGGAATCGGTAAATTGCGTTTCGGAGGGGGGCCTTTCATTTCCGTAAATGAAACTGATGGTGGAAGTGGATATTTAGGAGGCGGAATGCTCAGAAAACCTAAAATTTAAATCAGAATTCAGTAGTATTCATTCAACTAAAATTTAATTAATTTAGTTTAGACTTTGATTGACGAGAAGACATCGATTATAATCATGGAGCGGATACAGAAATTTCTTCCACTTTTATTTTAAAAGGATGCTAAATGAGCATACTTTGAAGTCTTAAACAAAAAATGAAAAAATTTAAACAAAAAACCAAACATAAATTGAATTCCTGCTTGAACAGATGTTGATGAAAGAAAATAATTACTTATTTGCCTGCTCTAAAAGAAGCTCACCACGTCATCACTAATCATTCATATTTTGATCGAATCACAAACAAATCAATAGGAAAATTTTTTTAATCATTGAGCACTGACTTTGATAAAACAAAAAAATTAGACGAAATATTGTTTTGATCCAAGTTTGGAAATATTCAGACTCGATAGAAAACTAGCTCAATACTTCGGTTACAGGAAGTCAGATGCTTAAAAATTTATGGCACGAGGTTGGGACTGATGTGCATTTTGATGCTAGACTGAAAGGTAAGTGTCGGAATTTGGACTGCCATTTCTATTCAAGATTTATTCATTAATTAAAGTTGTTATTATTAGTAGTAAATTATGTGCTGGTCATTTTGAAACTGAATAAATACTATATTTTTTTACAATAACTCCTCCGAAATTAGTTGCTTTAAAATATGCAAATTAGAGCAACAAAATGACTCACAGCGGTAAAATGTAAAAACGAGAGAAAATGGTAATGATGGTAATTAAGGTGATGGGTCGAGATATAGCAGTCCTCAAATGCATACATACTGTCTATCTCAAAGAAATGTATCTATTCGAGCAGTTGTAAAAGCTTTGAGCAACTGAAATTTGCCATCAAAGAATAGTGATGAATTATGCATATTACACTGTTTCAAAGTAATCAAAAATTGCGTGCTAATCACACATGTAGTCGATTTGCATACGGAAGGTTCTTGCATTTAAACTATTACTCTTAACAAATTAGTATTGAATAAGTGAAGTTGTCATAGCTATTGTTAATTCACTTACATATGCGAAAATATTGTTGAAAGGATGAGATAAGAGTATTTAATATCGCTGTTCATTACAAGTTTTAGCACTTTCAAAGTTGGCTTTTTTCATTTCAACCAAAAGTCCTTCGAGTTCACAGCAAATTTTTGCCGAGTCAAAATTTGTGATAAAAATATTAAAAGCTTACTTTAATACCAAAGTATTCGAAATTCGCATAATAAGGGACGAAACACTAAACTGTACACTTATCACGTAGAATAAGCTATCTATTTTTATCACAAATTATCTACGCAGTCATATTTGATTTCTAGTCATGGAATTATTTTCGTTTCAAATTCACTTTGACTTTAAGCGTAAATAAATATTTACTTACAATATTCTTAGGATGTATTCTGATACGATAATAAGCTTAAGAATTCGCATATTTTTTCAGGCAGCAAATCAATTATCCGAATTTCTACTTTTCTCAAAAACAGTTCCGAAAAAAAAAGTCCTGTAAGACTGACTGCAAGATGAAACTGTAAAAAAACTTGTGGTAGTAGATAATTACACCTAATTTGTCTACCGATAGATTTTCTACCTTACTGGCATGAAACTAGAAATATGCCATATTTCATAATTTTGTTTAATTCTGTTTGATTAAATTTTTTTGCATAAATGGAAAAATAATTTAGAGCCGCGCGAATATTACTATTTATGTTGGAAGATCTCAGATGAACATCTGATAAGAAGTTTGCATTATTTTTTTGGTAGAATATATTTCAGCGTAATTTGTACTTATCGTCAGTCGATTTGATTTTTAGTCCTCAAATATTTAAAAATCTAATAACATATGGCGAAGTACAGAAATAGACATTGATGCAAATAGCTTGAAAATGAATTTATAAGAGTTCAGATGATAGTAAATAGATTTTTTGCTTTTTCTTGCATGAAAGACTGCTAATTTTCGCTTGCAAACAGAAAGCAAATGAAAAAGTATTGCCGTTTGCCAAAATTTTTGCAGCGATAAGCAACGAAAATCAATTAAATGAAAAAAGGTCTTGCAAGAATTAGTACCGAAGTCATATACAGAAAAGTCAAATTTGTTTGTTTTCGGTGAAATGAGTAACTATAGAATGAATAAATCGACAAATTAACAGGCAATTTAAAAACAGATACGAAAGTTCCGTATATCACAAATAGAATTTAAAAATTTGGCAGATGCTTCTTCTCCTTGCAAAATTATCAACAACAAAAAAATCAGACTTTGATAGCATTCAGTAATTACTTTATTTACTTATATATTTACTGAGTTAGACTGAAGCCGCTAAAAGTGGACATATCAAAGAAAAAGTCAAATAGATGAAGTTTTGACCATGTAGTTATGATAGAAACTGATAAAAGTGAAATAAAGAAAGCGATGAGAGAAAGGATGGAACTCACCAAAGATGCTGGCACTGCCACGTGAGGAAGGGAGCTCTTTCTGCATATTTTATGGAAATTATTAAGCAAGAAGAGAAAGACTTCCAATCTCGATTTGGAATACCGAAAGGACGGAACTAACATTAACTAACAACAGTTTAACGTAGACTAAAGTTAGAATCCATTCAGTTAGCTGAAACTCCCACTTTTAACCTGCATTAATAGGATTGGATCAAATCAGGCCGAATCAATTATAATGGGCTGAGTTGAGTCACGTTAGGCTAGGTTAAGATGAGCTAAATTAGATTGGTTCTGGTCAGGTGCAGTTGAGAAGGAAGTACAAACACGGTCGTGGATAGCAATGTGCAAGCCAACTGGCATTTACAGTCATTTAGCACGCCCATTCGCTTTCAATAATTCAATCAGCTCTTGAGGGCGGGGTCTGATCAGAGTTGACCTTTGTCTTGCTTCGTAGCTGATATGCATATCGAAACTTCATTAGTTGCTGCCCATAAATGGGATAGTTATCATCTGTCCATTTAAGCAATAAAAACAGTAATACCTAGCTCTATGACCTCTCTGGCTAAGAAGTATGTATTCTTGTTCAACTGCTCGAGCAGAGCTAAACGAATCCAGCTTGTAAAGGCGTGAAAAAATTCAAGCTTAAATTGAGACCGAAAACCAATCTGAGAGCATTTTGCATTTTACTTCCGCCATTAGATGAATTATTTATTCAAAAAATTCATCAAGCATTTTTTGGAGTGAGCTTTCTTGCAGGCATAGAATTTGTAGCAATTTGCAGAGTAGAAAGCATTGGGCCTGAAACTGCGATAATTTGAATGGGACCGAGAATGGAGCATGCATAGCCAAGTTTATAATCAAATTATGATGAGAAACGAGTGAAGCGAAATGTGCCAAAGTTCAGAAAATGCATATAGTCCTTCGGCTGAATTAGCTCGAAAAGTCGGATTTGGACCGAATCTAAGAAGCCAGTTAGCTAGCTTAGATTATTTTGAGTCAGAAAAATGGCAGTGTAGCTGATAAACTAGTCAAACATTAGCCTGCAAATTCTTCAAATAGCAATCAAATCTCAATTCGCTATTCAATGCAAAAGTTTTATGAAGAAGCATACATAGTGCACATGTGTGCACATTTTTACTCATAAGCCAAATTAATTTTGCTCATATCAATGAGTATTTTATGATGAAAGCGATACCAGCATAACTATACAATTTCCGCTGAAAACATTCCTTAAAGTCAAAACATATATAAAAAGTACACATACCAGCCAATTTAGTCATGTACAAAAAGGCACATTTCAGTCTGCAAATGTTCCCGAAGAAATGTTCTTAATAGCGCATAAAAAATCCAGCAAGTTTTATAACAATACGCATGTTACGCTCACAACGCATACGTGGTTTTGTTTCTAACAAAGAAACTGAAAACACGTTTATCAAAGCAAGCAGTGTTCTCCTTTTCCTTTCATTGGCGGCCTTTTTATTTGAAAGTTTTAAAGAAAATAGTGAAAATGATTTGTGAGAGGCATTTTAATGGAAGATTCAAAGATGGATAATTAGCATATCACAATAAGCTCACATTTACTTGAGCTTTCGTTTTATATCATTTCAAATTAAGTCTTTAAATAAAATGATTAATGAATTAAGTATATTTTTCACGCATTAGCAGACAATTATAACTAATTTTGAACTTTCACAAATATTTTTTGAATTTCAGAACTTGGGAAATTGAATGTGTAGGCGACATATAAACAATTGACAAAATAGTTGCCGCAGAGTAGTAATATGATACATGAAATATAAAACCAAATGTATGTTATAATCAAGTTAAGCTGAACTGAATCTGATCTGAAAAGAGTTTGCTCTAATCTGAATTAGATATGAACTAAATAACGAAGTGAAAACTGTAAATTGGTTGAGAGAGGTATTCGAAGGTAAAACTAAGAAAAGAAACGACAAGTTGATCAGATCAGAATGTAAATCGGTGAGAATGCATCGAAGCGGAAGCAAATTAATTCCAAATTACTGGGTTATAATAAGAGATATGGCCACATTAAACACTTTACAGCAATAGGGTAAAGTGGTCCCTCAAATTATAGATCCCAAGGAAGTACAAAGCCTCTGTGAGGAACTTGTCATCTCTTTATCACTTTATGACTTTTACCATTTTAATTAATTTTTTTGTGAAATTCCCAATAAATGATGCTCTATAGAATCTGAACTTATTGCGCAAAGTATCGATGTGAGTTTTCGTGATAGGTTTCAAGACCTCAAAATGTCAAATAATACAAGCTTAAAGTAATCTGAGCTCATAATCTGAAAAATAGATAATTATTTATGGCTTTGGTCCCAAAACCTTTCCTTCACCAAGTTTGAATGCATGCTTTTTTCATTTTGTAAATCAATTCTACTTAATCGAATATTTTAAGTCAAACCATTTCCAATTGGAAATTATCATCAGAAATTATTTAGGCATTCTCATCACCAGAAAAAAAGTTTTAG